GAGGGTTTTTATAGGGTCGGGCAGCAGGAGCACGAGGGGGGCGGGTTCAAGCTCAGGGCAGCTCATGGTCTACAGGGTTCTGATTGGACGATTCAAATGAGGCCGGGTTCAAACTCAGGGCAGCTCATGGTTTACAGGGTTCTGATTGGACGATTCAAATGAGGCCGGGTTCAAACTCAGGGCAGCTCGTGGTTTTTCCCCGAGCTTGACACGCCTGCTGCCTGGCTCCAAGTTGTTTTTCTGACCTTTAGTACCCTTTTCTGGGGCCAGGAGGCCGGCTGTAGACACCCTGCGCTTTTCAGACCTTACTTGAAATGGCGTTAGGATAAGCTAGTATGCTGGGATCTTTCACTATGAGTCAGCCAGCAGGGAGGAAGCTTTCTGATCAGTACCAACTTGATTTCTCCATGTCCATGACCAAAGTGAATAGTGTCTTTAGTAATAGAGTCTTACCAACAAGTTCCAGGGGGCAACCAAGAGCAATGGCAATAGGCCATATTGTTTTGAGGGTCTCCAGGACACCCTTGACTAACAATTTGAGGAGAAGTACCCTACATACCTCAGAAGACTCTGTGCTTCAGTCAAATCTCCCTTGTCTAAGGAAGAGCCCCTGGGCTCATCAAGCACATTCCAAAAGGACCAGGGCATCTAGGAGAGTAAGCGCTGGAGAAATAGGGGCAGACTTGGGGAGTCAGGATGATTCTCTTCAGGTTTGCTATCATAATCAATCCAAAATTTAGCCTAAGTTTGCTGTCTTAGTTAGGGTTCTATTGCTGTGAAAAGACACCATGACCATGGCAACTCTTAAAAAGGAAAACATTTAACTGGGGCTGGCTTATATTTCAGAGGTTTAGTCCATTATCATCACTGTGGGAAACATGATGGCATGCAGGCAGCCAGGGTGCTGGAGAGGTACCTGAGAGTTCTACATCTTGATGCGCAGGCAGCAGAAAGAGACTGAGTGCCATACTGGGCATAGTTTGAGCATATGAGACCTCAAAGTCCTCCCCCACAGTGACACACTTCCTCCAACAAGGCCACACCTACTCGAAGAAGGCCACACCCCCTAATAGTGCCACTCTCCATGGGCCAAGCATTCAAATATGTGAGTCTATGGGGGCCATTCCTATTCAATCCATGACATTTGCTATCATAACCAATCCAAAATTTAACCTTGGCTAAAAAAAAAAAAAAAGTCATTCCTTGCACACAGAAAAAAGCATGGCTTCTTTCTTTCTTTGTAATGTCTCTCCAGATTGATGACAAAGAATTGCCACCCTTCAAGAGCAAGTGCATTAAAATGATAGGAAGTGGAGGGAAGGAAGCAAAGCTAAGGACAGAGACTTGGACTTGGATTTAGTGGATAGAAGAGTTCCAAAGCTGAAATAGTAAGAAATCAATACTTCTACACACAAGACTCAATAGCACTATTTTGCACTCAGGGCATTTACACCCTCTAACTACTATTTCATCCGAGATGCAGAAAAAACAAAACAAAACAAAACAACAAACAAACAAAAACAAAAACCAGTGACAACCAGAAACCACTATTTGCTTTTCCCAGTCTCGGTTACCCACTGACAACTCTGAGGCTGGCTGGTTTGTGTTCACAGGCAAACACCCTATGTCCAAAGGGAGTTATGTACCTCTGGAAGTAAAATTTTTATTACTGTTTTAAAATTCAAATGCAAACCTTTATGACAGAGACACAATATATTATACACTTTTCTATTGTTGTGATAAAACACTATGAGCAAAAGTAACTAGGTGAAAAGGGCTTATTTCATCTTACACTTCCAGGTAACAGTCCATCACAGAAGGAAGTCAGAGCAGGAATTCAAGGCAGGAACTGCAGCAGAGACCATGGGGGAACCCTGCTTATTGGCTTACTCCCCATGGCTTGCTCAACCTGATATTTTTATAATGTGTAGGACTACCTGCCAGGTCTGATCCCACCCACAGTGAGCTGTGCCCTCCCACAACAATCACTAATGAAGAAACCAAGTACAAGAAACCAAGTAGGATACACAAACGCTATGTTGAGGAAGGACAGCATCATCTTTGGTCAGCTTCCTGGGCTGGCCCTGCAGTGAGGGCGATCACCTTCCTCTTCACTGTCCTCCTGTCGATTCAGGCCACATACAACTGACCAGACTCAAGAAAACTATCCATTTCAAGAATACTGTTTCCACCCGTCTTGTAGCTAAGATTTCTAAGGTTGTTTGAGATGTGTATAACTCTATATACCATTATTATTTATGAAGCTAATGGATTTATTTTTACCAGTTCTGCTTTCCATAAGCAAATGGTAAGAACATGAACAGCCATAGCCCTGAGCAAGAGTCATCAACAATTAAGAAACACTTCATTACTGAAGAAGCTCCCCTTCATGAGTCATGTTACAAGGCTTGCTCTCATGTGAGAAATTGCAGAAGGAAGACACACGTCTTTTCAAGACTGGCCATGTTCACACCCTGTAGAATATGCCTTCATGGTATACATAAAACAAATCTTCCTCAAGACATTCTTGGGGACCTCTTCTGATTCTCTACATAGAGAAATTGTTCACTCCTGTTGTTATTTATTCTTCCCAACAACTATTTGCTAAATGCCTGCTGGCGCCAGCCATTGTGATAGACTCTGGGCTCACAGCAGTGAATTTGATAGCCTGGCCCCTGTCTTGACTCTGTATATGGTTCTGTAGTTGGAGCTATGGTTAAGGACAGGGACATTTGCACAACAGGAGGACCACATACTGGAATGAGCAGGGATTATGTGAACACACAGGGATACTTAGTGTAGTCTGGAGAGTTGAGAAACTTGCCTGGAGATCATAGTGAAAGCTGAGCCGAGACAAAAGAGAGATGTGGGTGAAAAGACCAAATACAAGGTGTGTCTGTAGGTGTGTGTGTGTGCGCGCGTGTGTGTGTGTGTGTGTGTGTGTGTGTGTGTGTGTGTGTGTGTGTGTGTGTGTGTGTGTTTGTGTGTGTGTGTGTGTGTGTGTGTGTG